CTTTTTCTTCAAGTAAAATACTATAATAAAGTATTTACTCTTAATATATTTTTGTTAAAATATATTTACTCAATATTTAAAGCTATTATAATACATATACTGTATTATATTCATTAATAATACTTTTAGAACCTTTATAAGATGTATAAGAATTATCTTTACTTTATAACCTTATTAAAATTCTTACAGTTACTATATAATTTATAAATAATGTGTATTCTACTATATAAGAACTATAAAGCTATATAAGAAAATGGACTTTTCCCTGACGCAAGCGCTGCGAAGATAATGCTTTACACACTTCCATCATACTTCTAGCTGGTTGGTACAACTTTATATTCTGAATCATATCTAGTGTTTGTCCCGTCCCATAACATTTGAAAAAAAGAAAACCTTGTAGTATCACTGACACAACACATATGTACCCTACCAGCTAGGCTTGATAAACATTCAACATGAGGCACGGCTCTAAGCAAGAGGCTCTTGTCCTTGCAACGCCACATTGTCTATCTTAATACATATACATATCAATGTCCCACACAATACAGAAAATGGTGATGATCAAGAACAGATATCTGATTAAGATGCATCAACAAAACTGTACAGACGCCAGCTGATACATTACAGTGAAGCAAAAATATCACAGGGCATATTTTTATTTTCCGATCACGGGCATAGATCAGAATGAAATCAACATGCAGTACCATGACAAGCACAATCATATATCATACGTAAATTCAACGATCAGCGTTTACAGTATTGATACTCTACTGTGCCAAATGTGTTTTTTTCTATCTTTGACTGAGTACAGCGATTACATGTCCTGCAACACATATACACTCATGAATTCCCACTCAAACTCCTATTCCCTCCCCTAATCTCCTGGTGCCCCTCATTATCATGCAATAGTATTGTCTTTAAACTACTCAGCCCTTCTGAACACCAGTCGTCCTCTGGCATTCTTCCTTCCACATTTTGCAGTACAGCTAGAGGTCTTGCACTATATATTTGCAACAAGTCTTGAGGTATGTATGTTTTGGACCTAGTACCTACTACAAGTACACTTTTAACAGTCAGATAGGCCTTCATCTGGGATCTCCCAGGCCTGTCTAATGTACTATCAGACTCAAGCTGCTCTTCAGGAACAGGTACAATCTTACAACTATTGTTTATTTCTTAAGGCAAGTAGTAGTCAGTACACTATAATTTCACAAGGTTTTACACCCATTGATTATTCCTAGAATTTCTACTTTTGCAAATATTATTACAGTACTGTATTTCAATGTGTACTACTTTAACTTTTCAAAACTATTAAGTAACTATGTGTCAAAGAGGAATAACTATATCTCATTGATATTATGAGATAGACAGTGATGGCAATACATATATTTAGCTGTACATTGGTAGAACACATTGGGACTTTTGGGACAAAAGGAAAAAGTTGGTATGTTGAAGTATTGATGAGAATACTTATACATACATACAGGCATCTTTAATATTGTAAATCAATCATCTTTCAGTGCATATGTAAAGAGGATCCAAATACAGCAACAGAGGTATAGCAGATATACATCACACGTCAACACCACCAACTTTCACGTCCGAACCGTGTACATATGTGGAAGACTGGCAGCAGCTACTACCAGTGCCGACAAGGTTGAGTTCCATTGGAACTTGTGCACCACGGTACGGCTCAACTGTCGTAGACGTTGCCTCGCTTCCAACGAGTGCTGTATCGAACGTATCTTTAGGCCCACAGGCCTGACCATACCGAAAAGGGAAGTTGGGGTTGGGCATCCCATCGCGGAGCGTCGTGCGCTGGAACGTCGACTGTCCTGTAGGTTCAATGACACCGAACTTGATGTCTCGTAACACTTTGCATGCCATGCAGTTTTCGATCGTCACGTTTGGAATAGTGAACATTGCACGGTAAACCGGTGCTACGGATGGTGCAAGTATCATTACCATAGTAAGAATATTTCCACTAACAGTGATCCTGAAATAAAGATTAGTCTAATAAATATTTACTATGCCAGCGAAAGTAGGTCAGACTAACAAATAGTATTGCTGTCCACCCTGCAAGATGCTCCTCGAGAGACTCGGAAGCGATCTTCCGTTCCAGAATGCTTTGATGCGTGCCCCAACGTTATCTTGAATAGATGCACTGTTGTATAGAATGCGCAAAGATATGGCGATAAGAACGAGTGTATCGTTCACTGCGGAGATAATTATTCCGGCGGAGCTGTACGGTTTTACAGCACTGTTGATGCAGAACACGGTCGGACCAATATGAGTGCCCGCTATAGCAAACGGAACGGTCATACAGCCTGCGAACACGCAAAGCCATAGAAAGCCGAATAGCACAACAACTATCTTCTCTTGATTGAAGATCGCGCGAATACGGAAGAAGAAGAGCAGGGACGTCGAGGAGACTGCGAGTGTGAAGCAAACAGCTAAAGTGACTTGAAGTATCTGGCAATTTCCTACGCTGCCGACTAAAGGTAAAGGAGTTAATTACTGTAGTTCGTTGGCTAGTTTGAACTAGCTTACTTTGAAACACGGTGTTCGTTACAACATAAGCAAATGCAGTGATTCTAGTGATAAGTACTGAATCTCGAATTTTGCAAACTTGTACGGAACAGAACACTCACCTCGAGAAGAAGTAGACAGCAGTAGGAATGCCAATCCTGTGCTTGAACAGGAGCTGGTAATCGGACGGTACATTGGACAGGATATCCCAGATGAAGGCCTGTCGGATTGTCAGGAACAGCACTTAAATGACTAAACTATACATACACCAAGACTTGCCACGTAGATATAGCGCGATACCTCTAGCTGCGATGCGAGATCTGGAGGGAGGAATGCTAGAGGCGTCTCAGGATTTGGAAGTGCTGAGCAGTTGACAGACAGCATCACAGTGCAAAAAATGAAAGGATCTGAGGCAAGTGCACAAGTGCATTTATACGAGTGAATGTTCTATCTTTGGGCTTGTTGATTGGTAAAACACTGTGTGTACAGTAGAGTGTGGATCACTATTCTGTCTGAATTATGAGTTCTGTGTGTCAATATTATGGACATACCATCATATGATACGTGATTACACTTGTGCCACATGCTGAAGTTTATTCTGAGCATGATTCTGATTTGACACTTTCCAGCAGAATCATGACACATTGTCTAACTGTGTGTCTGATTGCTGTTGTGCCTGGAATGCACCATATGTTAGAGTAAAGGACAAAACAGAAAGGGGTTGATTGTTGCTAGTTTAGAAGCACTATGATGATTGTAGTGCTGTCTGTGGGAAGGTGTCGATCTGTATAACAGTGTCTCTGCTCATAAGATTATAAATATTAGATTAGAAAAGTGCCTACCTTCTGCCCACAGTCCAGAGGGTAACGCTGTCTAGAAGAACTTGAACTTCAATGAAGTGACGGGTGGACCAACAGTGTGACGCTGTGACAACAAAAATACAAGAAATTTGCTCGCTCAGCAGTGTCAGCACTATGTTTGTTGACACTCCCAGCAATCATACAATGAAATTTAATTCACATAGACAAAAAATGTAAATGCACAGAGATACATGGATGCACGTAAATATATCCTACACATCTCGAATCCAAGATCATCTACATTCGAACAGAAAACCACAACATACACGTGCGTCTCCTGTCCCCAACCCATATCTACAATCTAATTTTTTATGCAAAAGTGTGAAATCCATACAAAAAGTAAAAACTGTTAGAACAACATCTTAATATGTAAAAATTGCTTCTACACAGTCCATAAACGAACATGACCGATAGCGCTCTGTACTTCGAATCCTCTGAACACATTTCACCTACTCTGTAACAGGAGAAGCCACCTCCGATTGACGTCCCGGCGCCACACCATCATTCTCCGAGTCCGAGGTAGTTTGAGTACTCGACTTTTGGACAGGTGAGATGATCGCAACGAGTACAGAAATATCTATCAAAGAAAAACGTAAGAATACAACACTTAAAAAAGGGACGCAATGACAGATAAGAAGGGAGGAATGAATAACGCTCACCATCGCTCTTCCCACCCCGGAACGAACGTCCTTCTTCCCTCGCACGACGTTCAAACGGCAACTCTTCAACCTCCTGATCGCGGACCATCACGTCTGTTCGCTTCGAGCCGTGCATTTGCGTACTCGACTGCCTCGCACGCGAACACAATGCCTCACTCAACATAGCAGCCAACGTCCTCCTTCCGAGCAACCCCCCAATACCCGTGTCATCACAATTCCTGTCCGACTCCTTCGCAACAGGCAAATGCGCCTCAACCGCCCTCCTCACTTCGTCCAACACGTCTTCTTCCCAACAATTATCGCTCATCCCATCAGAGGCGAGTATGAGTATGTCATCCGCCTGAACGGATAGCTCGTATCGCCGAGCGTCTGAAGGTCGAGTAGGTGATGCTGGGCCGAGTTGGACTGGGTAGTTAAACTAAATAAAGTGAACATAAGTTTAATATAACTGATTATAATAAATAAAAATTAAATTGCTTACATCCCACCACATTTCCTCACTCCGCCAAACAATCTCTCCACCACGAACAAGCCAACCAATACAATCGCCCAAATGAGCAACACGTAAACGATCTCCTGAAAGTACAGCAAGTAACGCAGTCGAAGAACCAGAATTGAGTGGCTCCCAAATCTCCTGCCATTCCCATTCGCTATCTTCAGACTTCTCAACAGAAACAGATGCAATGTCGGCCGAGGTAGAGGATACTGCCTTAGGTGCGGTAGAACCAAGTCCTAAGCTATACGACCACCAACGCGGAGGAGTCTCTAGTGTCTTAACAACACGGACCCGCCGACGTACACGGTGAGCATTGATCGTCTTCGAATATGCTCGCTCAAGTACATCGACAGGGTCAACGGTCCCGTCCAGCGGGTTTTGCGCCTGTTTGGCGTCCGTGGCAACGGGGGTGCGGGAATCCAACGGTCTGATCGGGTGATCCTCCTCTGGAAGAGCCTCCAAGCCAGTAGTACTACTGTCGGACTCCCAAGGCCAATTGAACGGTCTTGCGTTTCCGTGTTCCCGTACAACAGTCTTACGGCGCCCGTTTATAGTCGTCGCACGTGGAGAAATTCCGCCGTCCTTCAAAGAGGGCTTCGTTGTCTTGGTAACTATATCTGGATTTTGTGATATGGAATCCGGCTGGGGGGGGCTAAAATTAGTCGCAGATGCTCTTGCTTCCCCAACTTCTTGAGAGCAGAAATGCATGAGGCGCCGAGCGAAGAGGGCCGATGGGGAAGGCTGGGAAATAGATGCTTTGTGATAATGCTTGTGTGCATGCGTATGGCGCACTGATGATGCTGACGTTGATGTTGAAGCAGCAGCGCAAGTGCTACATGAATGTATAGATGATGAGGTCCGACTTGAAGACGCTCTTGAACTCCAACCGCCTACTCCGTCTGCTACACCAAGAGCATCCTCGCGTATGAAGTAGGCGTCTTCACCAACCTGAACAGCATTTTCAAGTGAACCTGAAGCATAGACATCCTCTCCTTCTAAGCAGGTTGTACACGAGCAAGGCCTAGCCCTTGTGCTCACCCTGCCGCGTTTTGGTATGCCGTAAGCACCAACGTCAAGTTGGTACATTTTCTGACCAGTCGATGATGCGTCTATGATGTTTTGATCTTCTTTCACCTGTCTGTCGGCACCATCGGCAACGGATTCGCGTGAATGCCATGAATAGTCCGCCGCGAGGCCGGAACGAGGACCACCAAGGAAGAAACCGTAGTCAGGAGGACTTGAACCGGTTGGTGGTGTAGGTTCGCCGAGAGAAAGCATGAGTGATGTGCCGAAAAGCGGTTGGTTACTACCCTCAGTCTGTTGGCTACCGCTTGTTTGACCATGGTGGCCTTGACCATGGGAGTTTTGTTGGGTCGATTGCGCACCATTTGCGAAATGCGGGGAATGCGGCGTTTGCGCGCTATTTGCAGAGGGATTATTTCCGTGCGTACTGCCCTGCGTCGCCTGAGGTTGAGCCTCACCAGCTGGAAGTCGAGGCGATAAGAAAGAGTGCGGATTGCTTGGGCGAGATGTTGGCAGGGGAGGAGGCGGAGAAGCGGAGTCAAAAAAGGGCAGTGAACCAGTCGCATTTGTATACAGGGACCGATTGCCAGAGCTTCCTACAACAGTTGATGATGATGTCGAAGCTGTTGAAGACGTAGATGGAGAGCCAACTGCCGATGCGAGCGAGAGTGAAGCACGGCGAGGACGAGGACTAGTAGGAGTAGGCCGCACGGTCGCCTTGAGAGGCGGCGATGCGGCTATAGAGTACAGACGTTTAGTAGTGTGTATTGGCCTCATCGTTGACAAGCATGAGATAGACAATCAAGAAAGAAACGAGAACGACTATGAGCTCGACGTTGAGCTCGTCGCCGTTGTGGCTGCCGTCGACGACGGTCGCAGTGCGGGAGGAAAGGTGAGTGGACGAGGTGTTGCGGGGAACCTGCTAAGAGCAATAAACGGATTGGCTCGCGTCGCTCCGGTGCTTCCCGACTAGACGTCATCCCAAATCAGTCAAAAATCCCGTGACAACTCACCCGGCTCCGACGTCCGGCCGAGCAGTCCAACTTGCTTAGCTGCTATCAAAGTTACGGACAGTGGATGCTGCCTCACTCTCGACGAATTCTTGGCTGATTGATAGATATCTCTACTGTGCGTCTATCCCAGCGTTTGCTTACAATGGTCACTATGTGGACTTTGCCCTTGATTACCTAAGTATTTGGCGTCTGCTTTGTGCAAACTTTGGCTTAATAAGGCAGTTCATAGTGATTACTGTCTAGGGGACTTACACTGGAATAGAATATGTTACTTATTGTAATATGGATGACAGGATGGTGCTTCAAGCTGTTGCTTGTACTTGATTCAACATAAACAGGTCTCATACTCTTGACAATATAGGTATTGTATGGTTGTTGTGTCATTTCTATATAAAGTACATACTGAATTTTCAGTCCTAAAATAGCTGTCATCACAGGTTGCAAGCCCTGATGATTCCTAGTTTACCATACACAAAATACACTCAACTGACTACAACAGTGTGTAATTCCTCTTAATAGTATTTACTGTTGACTTACTTACTGTCAGAGTCATTTACTAACTCATACACATAATATGTTAATAAGGCCTAACTTCTGCTCTGTGACCAAAAACCATGCATTGTTACTATAAGGGGACAATATATAATGTAATTTAAAGGTATACACTCATACTACTAGGCAAACTCAAGCATCTACTGTCAGTCTTACTACTAGAAGCAAAATTCTGTATACTATACTTACTAGTTAACACAATCTATAGTACAAACAAATGCTAAAGTGCTAGTACCACCTGTAGTCTCTGACACAATATGTTTTGGTGCTTTAGATCAACATACTATGTATTGTTTAATGTTAATCCCTATTTCTAAGTAGCTACTCTAGATTCTTATTAATCTTACTATACAAACACAAGATTTATGTTAGTTTCTCATACTCCTTAACCACATCCTAGACCACTATCCCAAATTCCTAATACAGTCATGTCTGTTTGAAAGAGATACTATGTGACATTTGAATTTGGGTGAATAAGATATAATGTTTGACAATACATAGTATACTACTCTTTCTTTAACTAATACTATACTTTAGCTTTTGTAGAATATTTATAAAGATAGTTTTGACACTAACAGAGCTCAGAACACTAGTCTACATTTACTTCTTCTTAAATCTCCCTAGTATCTCAAGTCTTAAGGACTCCTACACATTTAAAAGCCTAACATGTTAAATCTAGAAATGGATCCTAGCTTAGACCTTATAGTAGAAACAAACATTCTACTACCTGAATTCAAAGAAACCCTTATAATAATCCTTAATAACAAGAAATTGAATACAATTCTTATAGAATACAGTTTTAATCCATATGTAGATCTTGTTACAGTCTTAGACCCTACTATAAGAGTGTTTAGCTCTCTAGAATCAGTTTCTCAAGAGTCAACTTCTACACCTGAGTCCTTTAATACAGGTACTACTAATGAGTCAACTGTACTTGACAAACTGAACCAGTACAATAGATATGCTCATCTTAGTACAGACTCTGTTAAAGGAATGTCTAACTTCTCAGAACTGACTTCTTAAGAGTTGTCTTACACACTAGCTCAAAATGAGACCTTTAGTATAAGTATGACTAACAAGTTGACTGTATTTAATAATACAAACTAGTTATATCTATATGTTAAGGACAATCTATCATTCTTCACCAGCTTTGTAAGAGAATACACTCTTTTTGTAGTAACTAGCTACTAACTACTATCTTAAGGAAACTTTTAATAAAATGAATAAAGTGAACCCTACATATATAGATTCTTTAATTAATCCTGTATTGTTATCATTCATACTTACTCTATCTAGAGCTACTACTGTAGGAAACTTTGAGCAGGCTAATAGTGTCCTCCTAGGTTCTAACACAATATATAACAATTTTTAGTAAGTGTCTCCTGTTGGACCCTCTCACAATAAGTCCTTCAATCTAATTACTACTAAACAGTTGTACACTAGTACTGGAAATAATGTACTATTACACAACTAGTATGTAAGGGGACACAGTAATTTGTTTCTTATAGCTTGTACTAACTACAATCTTAAGGAACCTTTGTCTAAAAACAATGTAATAACCTTTATACTTATAAATATGTTTAGTAATCCTGTCACATTACTATCTACACCTACTCACCTAGAAGCTACAACTTTAGACACTCTTAGACAGGCTAATATTTCTTAACAGAATTTAAGCAGAGCTTCTTCTGTTTAGTAAGAGTACTAAATAGGATCTTCTTATAATGTAGCCTTAGAGATAACCCCTAGCCCCTTGACTGTATCTGATACTTAGAACCAATTGTATACAAGTACTAAACATAATAGTACTACAGTTAATACTAATACTAGTACTAATGTAAGGGACTATACTCTTTTCTTGTGTCTAGTAGTAATTACTAACTATTTCCTTAAGGGAACTTTTACTAGGTCTGATCAAATGTCTTTTACATTTATGAAAATGTTCAGTAATCCTATAACACTTCTATCTACACCTGCTTTCTTGAAAGCTACAGCTCTAGAAAGCTCTACCTAGATTAATTATTCTAGATTAAGTCTGAGTAGAGTCTCTATTGTTTAGTAAGAGTATTACATAGGTTCTTCTTACAATACAGTCTTAGATATGACTACTGAGCTATCAGCTGTACCTAATTCTTAGAGCCAACCACATATTAATACTAGACATAATACAACCTCTAATATAAGGAGATACACTCTTTTCATTTCTAGTAGTAACAACTAATTATAATTTTAAGGAACTTTTACTTAAAAACAATTGAATGTCTTTTACATTTATAAATATGTTTAGTAATCCTATAACACTTCTATCTGCACCTGCTTTCTTAGGAGCTACAGCTCTGAGCAGCTCTACCCAGATTAATTATTCTAGACTAAGCTTGAGTAGTACCTCTATTATTTAGTAAGAGTACTATGTAGGCTTGTCTTACAATACAGTCTTAGATATGACTGCTAGGCCAACAGTTGTACCCAATTATTAGAACCAACCACATATTAATACTGGACATAATACAACCTCTAATGTAAGGAGACACACTCTTTTCATTTCTAGTAGTAATTACTAATTAAAATCTTAAAGAGCTTTTACTCAAAAACAATAGAATGTCTTTCACATTTATGGATATGTTTAGTAATCCAGTCACCTTGCCTTCAGGACCTTCTCTGCTTGAAGCTACAACTCTAGGAAACCTGCCTCAGGTTAATAATTCCCTTACAGGCCTGAGTAGTATGACTCTAGAGGGGTAGTAAGAGTCTCTTACAAGTCTGTACTAGACTCAACAGAGAGACAACAAAAGGGCTTCAACCTCTGCAAGGCACAAAGGGATACCATGTCCTTACCCAGTGAACAAATGTGATTATATCAGCACTTTCTACAATAAAAAGTCCCTTCTGTAGCACATTAAAGGCTAACATATAAAGGACTCTCAACCAATTCTCTATTGTCCTAGAAATTGTAATCAGATAGAAGAATTCTCCTGTGCCAACACTTTGTATCAGCATTTGAAAAATCCCACATTCTCTGCCTGCAGAATTGAGGCACTCAAGAAGGGGTGGGATCCCACAAGGGAATCCTTGGTGAAGAAGCTTGTAGAACTGTACAATTAGAAAATTAGGAATGAGTAGTTTTGTCTAAAGTCTTTAGGCATACTTTGTTTGCTTGGCTATGTAGATCTGGGGACTGGGAAAGGTAGATCTTTCTAACCCCAGTGGACTGAAGAATTGGCCATAAGAAGGTATGGTATGGTAGTTACTAGTTAGGTTACACTTGTCTTGTTAGCTATTTCATCACGTGACTGAGTTTTTATGTTCTGATCTGAGACAATCCTGAGACTATCTTACTTTCTCCACTGTACTTCAATCACTTATTACTGTAATGATCAAGCAACTACATCTTACCATACCATACCTAGCCCCCTAGTAGTGTTATTCATCATGTCCACTATGTTCGACAACATCGCTTCGTCCATCCTGACTGAAAATGGTGTTGAAGCACACGAAGTCGAAAGGAAGAACAACGTGTACAAGGGATCTTTGGCTGTATTGTATGACGAGACATGGGCGTCGCAAAATGCAGTTTCAGTATTTGACCTGGTAGACATTATCCGTGACACACGGGAGGAGGACCGCACAAGTGAACCAATCCCGGAGAAGGCTTGCGTACTAGGATGGAGCGTTGGGGGGGAAGTTCCACTTGTCTTGCATACTCCTTTTGGATGTCGTGGAATTTTTGTGCGGGATGAGTATCATAAAATGTTGTCAAAGATCTTCGATATCTTTGGCCTCGATTTTGGCGCACAAACTGGCTATGCACCAGACGAAAGGATTGCAGACCCGGGATTTATTTCCTCCACACAATCCTTTCATTGAATTGGACGTTAGATCAGTCGAGGAGGATCTAATCTTTGGACTTGTTGTCACTGGAACGCCTGGCATTGGTAAGAGAAGTAACTTTCTGTTGTTTTGCCGAACTGCACTCATTGGTATTTCAGGGAAAACATTATTTCTTTTGTATGTACTTGCACTACGCCTCCTTGCACGACAAACGACTGTCCTGCAGTTTGTAAAGGGCGAGTTCACAATATTTGAAGCAGCTGGAGTGTTTGTCTGTAAGGAGATGGAAGCAGAGCTTTTATTCTTACCAGAACATACCTGGTTCCTGGTGGATAGCAACGAGGGTATTACTAGCCCGCCTTTTGAGTTCCTCCGTGCTTGTGATACATACTCTCGGAAACTGATTGTGGCGGCATCACCACGACAAGAACGATTCGAATTCACGAGCAAATACGACTTGCTTTGGACTCTATGGATGTACCCGTTCGAGTTTTGGGAATATATTGCAGCGTAGGCCGCTATTCTTCATCAACGTGAAAGCGAATCGTATAACAATAAATAATTCCAATAGGCGATATTTTCAACTTGAAAATACTGCAACGGAACTCCAATTGCAGCACTTCTTCCGCGTATGGGGTCCTAGTGCACGTGCAGCATTCGCAAATGCCACCAGCCCAGAAGAACACAAAAGAGAAATTGTACAGAACATCTTGAATGTTCCTTGGGACAGCCTGCGCAATGTGATTAGAAGCATGGGCGGTGGCAGTTTTGATACCAAATTCTCTCACAATACACTCATTGCAAAGCCTTGTAGCGATGATCCTTCTGATTTCTATGTCGAGTTTGCAACTAAATCAGTTGCAGCAATGGTAATAGAAACTTTCCTAGATGTGGAAGAACAAAAGGCCCAGCAACTCTACCGATTCTTCTTGGGGAGTCCCAAAGCCAGAGCAGCTGCTGGGTACCTATTAGAGGTAATTGCGATGACTAGTTTTCAGAAGGGTGGAGCCTGGAACGTGCAGGCCATGGAGAAGGATAAAAAGGGAGGCCGAGGACAACCGACAAAGGTTGCTTGGGGACACAATCCAGCTTCAGTATCGTATACGATGCTTATTGGGTACGGGGGCAGGCCAGTGACGATAAAGGAGGGCGAGCACCTTTCTCTGGGACAAAAAAAAATCGCAGAAGTAGCTCGTGTCGACTTCAACCCTAAGGATGCAATGACAGTGGAGGGTGCAATGTATGTTTCAAAGCAAATCACTAATCCCGCATTTGATGCTTGGATTTTTAATCCGCAAGATGGCAATATGGTGGTTATCCAAGCCACCTGCCAAAGGTCCTCTTACAACTTCGACTCTAAGGCGTTTGAGTGGTTCGATTGTCCTGAAGTCAAGAGTCTTGACGTCGTCATTGTATCGGATTTAGATGGCGGAAAGAAGGTAGAAACACTAATAGAGAACGACAGGAAGATACGGAATGTGTATCGTTTGATAATGTAGGCTGATTGTTTTCTTTCTTATTCCTTTTTCCCTGTCCATTGTGCGTTGTATGTTCAAACTGGTCTGTGATATCTTGCATTGCACTAGCACACTAGCCAACGTGTTGTATATATCGAATGTTTATTTTTTTGTCTGATCTGAAATCTCAAATTGCCCCACACAATTCCACTAACACATGACTGAATTGATGCGCATAAATGTCCCCTTACAGGTTATAACAGATGTCACTGCTTCGCTTCTTCAACGTACTTCCGTAGCAGAAGCAATACTCTTCGCAAATTCTGACTATACTTAGCAGAAATCGGAACTACGTCTAACCCGCGTATCTGCTGTCCATTCCCTGGTCGAAGACACATCTCCGAATTAACGAAGGCCTCGAGCCTCTTGAATTTTCCCTTCGCCTCCGCTACACTCGAGCTATCCCCAGAACCTAACAGGTCAGCTTTGTTGGCAATGACAAGACGTGCTTTTGCACTTAGACCTGGTAGGTACGTCTCCAGTTCATCGCGTAGGACTAGAAGTTCTCGTTCTGGACTCGGACCGGAGAAGTCGACGACATAGACAAGGGCAAGGGAACGCTCAATAGATCGAAGAAACGAGTGCCCCAAACCAACGTTTTCAGATGCATGTGAGATGAGGCCTGGATTATCCGCAACGGTGAAGCGGAAGTCTTCATTTATGTCGACGGGATCAGACCGTAATTGATTTCGTGTGACGACGTTGGCGAGTTCACCGCGTTCCATTTGCTCTTTGAAGCGCTGTTCTTCGAACCTCGTCTCATCAACGACCAAATCCTTATTCTCCGCGCCAAGGATGTTTCCCTCTGCATCAATGCGTACCACCGCAACGGAAGGATTAAGAGTTGTGAACGCATAGCCTGCGACTTCCGTTTTTGCACGTCCACCGGTCAGAGCGCGTAACAATGTACTTTTCCCGGCATTTGGATAACCGACCAGACCAATGTCTGCAACAATCTTGAGCTCGAGAGAGAGCGTAATTCGTTGACCTTCAGTCCCACGTGTGGCGAATTTAGGAGAACGGTTCTCGGTAGTCAGGAACGCAGGGTTGCCTAGACCACCTTCACCGCCAGATGCAATAAGATAGCCTAAGCCTTCTATTGGCTGATGGCCGATTTCCAAACCAGATGAAACTGATTTCGACGAAGATGTAACAGGTGCGTCCAAATCAAGGTAAAGTGGGGATGTCTGCTGCTGTCGCCGCAGTATTCGTCGATCACGTTCTTGTCGATACAGTTCTCGCTCTGCAGCATGAAAGGCGTCTCGCTCGACATTATGATCTTCAGCGCCTGGATAATGTACCCATCGTTTGGCCCGTATCTTTGCGATCTTATCGGCCGGAGAGAGGTTTTGCAAACCCTCTTCTTCGGCTTCCCATTCGTCCTGCGCCCGACGAGAATCTTCGCCTGCGAGTTCCTGTACCACGGTTCCAACAGGAACGCGAATCATCATAGGTTCACCGTTTCTCCCATTCATCCATGTACCCTTTCCATTTCCTCCTGGCGCTCCTCGGATTCTCTTCGGGATGGACGAGAGAGTTGTCAGACCAGGAGTCGGAAGAATGTAAACATCGCCTCCTCTCCCTCCATTTCCGCCAGATGGAGGGCCATGTGGTACATATTTTTCGCGGTGGAAAGCGACGCAGCCGTCACCACCTTTACCTTAGGTAGTCATGAGCTACGGGGAGAAGACATAACGATTGCGGGACTTGCCTCCACGAATAGTGACGATGAGATTGTCTAGGAATGTTTGGCCCTGCCAATGTAGAGTTTTAACGATATAATACAATGATAGATGCCAATGAACTCACTCTCTGTCTCCTTTTCCATTCTGTTTTCCTCTGGCGTCGATATGCTTCCTGAAACTCAAGCTTCAAGTGTTCGTCGCTTTGCGTGGCAGAGGCGGAACTTGAGGAACGTATTATCGCATATCTGCCAGGTATAAGTCTACAGCAAGACGAAAGTTGGATTTTCACAAATAAGGATGCATTTCGCAGCATTCGAGATGGACGTTCCTGTAAAACAGCGCAATGCCCACAGACGCGTCCACGTGACGGGAATGGACTTTTCTCAAGATTAAACCTGTCCTCGCGAGTCCTTCCTTCACCCAGAAAGATCTTTGCTATGGACCAGCCTCCATATTTCTCACAATACCGGCCGAAGTGAGATGCCTATCAGTTTCGAGTTACGGCGTCCTTGAACCACCTTGCAACGACAAGCAGACACATACCATCGCCGTGCCTCAAGGCTTACCCGTCATTACTTCATCTACTTCGGACTGTTTTACTGAGCCATCCAACAATAGAAACCCTGACATGCTATCGCCAATCCTGTTCAGTCCCAATAGAGGATGAAAAGACAAGAACAGCGAGTTGCGGAGTGCTGGCGCTCAAATTTACCTTGTCTTTGCATTTCTGAACACCTGCACACTAAACAACACTTCGAACGCATGCTGGACCAAGGCTCGATCATGAGGGTACTCTAGGGCCTAAATTCAAATAATAATACGACTACGTGGGCACGTTGAAGTTGCCCACGAGTATGCCATTACTCGTCTTAAGTGGGCCATGCTGGCCGAGCTGTCCGACTCTCCGCTCTTATTCATTTTGAATACTTGCCTGAGCACAGGATTCTAGATGATTAAATCGATAAGTGAATCAGGCCCCAGGGGAGCTGGGTGTCTACTACACATCCCCAGCGTTCCTACCCTGTTATGATTGCTGCTGCGGAGAATCTCTCATTTATCACTTACTTTGTCAAGGCTATAATGGGTCTTATCTTGAAGGCTGCAAAGTTTCTGGGGAGACTTTTCGGATTAAAATCAAAGGTTGAACTTAACACTTCATCCACAAGGCCCTCGACACCGTCGAAAACCTCATATGTTCTCCTGGACGGAGATCCTGAAAAGGAGACGAGTCTTGTGATTCGTAAGGGAGCAGGCACGAACGAGAGAGAATTTGCAACATGTGCGCAGCATATTTCACAACCACTCTTGCTTAATGTGCAGCTGTAACACTCTACTTTTTCCCAGGGATGAAAAAGAACGTGCCTCATATCAAATGGAGGATAGGTGAGGAAGGCACTGAAGAGGACTGTGTTATCATAGGTATCTGTATCGTCGGTTTTGCTAGTATTCCATCGATTCTGATAACATCACGTAGTGTATGAAGACACCGAAGAACCCAAAAAAATGAAACTCTATGTATGGGAAAGCTGTCTCGAACCATTTATCGACTTTTTCTTCGGGGAGGCTCTCGAAAAGATGAAGGCACTTACACAACCGAAAGAAGCACCCCTGACGTGTACCGCTTTGTGGTAGTCCTCCTTGGTTACTTTCGTCCATGTGGTGACTTGGCATTCCCCAGACGAAGTTGTCGAGCTCGTGGTCTGTAAGCCAATCTCAGCAATCCGATAAGATACAGCTATTGGATACAGCTGTCAATTTTTTAATTCTTTATAGTTGCGAAGAAAGAAGGTTATGAAGTGGAGTGCTTTGCTTACACGCACAAATTACCCTACGATTTTCAATACACAAGTAAGCTACCTATTTAGCCCAATTAAATCCCAGATGACTGATCTCAAATTTTCTCTTGCATCTTTATCAGTCAAAGGCCCGGATGGATACAAATTTGAGTCTGAAGCGACATTTTGGGAACCAGGCTGCTGGAGAGATGCTGCAGAACAACTCGGAAGGGTATGTAAGAAAGAATTTGAGTTTACAAAGGATAGAAAAAAAAGGGAGCTACTAGAACAGGCTAATGAGGAGAGCAAGCATGTGCGTTTTGTTAGTCACGAGCATTGTTATTCTAGAACAAAAGATGACCGTATGTCTACGTCCTTCTGATGGTGAAAATGGTATGATCTGTTAACATGTTACATTCCGGAATCGTGATCGGATCAGCCTTCTATTCACTAGACGTATGCACTTTTTTACTTTCTTAATCCTAACTTATGCTTATCAGGAAACGGAGGACCTGCGCGGACTAAAGAGGAAGCACCGTACAAACCAGAGAGAATACAGTAAGGACCTCAATTTTGTACAAAACGAGATACTGTAGTATGTATACGGATCTAAGTTATGCTACACAATAATCCGGCAGAAGCAATCCAAGATCTGAGTGCTGTACATTAGAGAGCATTGCGGAAGCGAGAGAAAATCAGAACAAAGAAAACAGGACAGGGGATCGGGTGGACTAAGTATTTTCTTTGACCATGTCAAGGATGGTTAATCGAACCTGAAAACGAGGTGAAGTTAATACCTGTATCTTACAAAAGCTGCGGAGAAAACTTACGCGCTGAAAGTATATAATTACAATTTATGAATCATCAAATAATTTGCGTCAGCGAAACTTCTTGCAATACAACATATTTGGTGAAGAACTCACGCAAGGGCAGCCATCCCAGCAACGCCAAACGCCAAACTTACTAACGCAAGCGCTTGCTTCCAAACGCTCGATTCCCTCAAGGACGAATGAAGGAAATCACCAGCAAGCAACTCCACGCCACTTGCATAAATCAACGTCCCTGCCGATAGCGCTGACGTGATTCCCTGTGCTAGCGGTAGACTAGAATGCGGAGAATGAGGACCTGTGCTAGGGCCAAGTGCGAGACGGCCTATAAGACATCCCATGGGAACGGATAGAGCGAAAATGGTTGCGAGCGTAATGGGAATGGAGAGTGAGTTGGTTCCATTGGTTCTGGCAGGAGTTGAGCCAAGGGTCGCGAGTCGAACGCCGAGTGAAAGGCCTTCGAAGAGTTGGTGAAAGAGGATTGCGATGACGAGAGAAGCTATTCGGAAATATGAACATAAATTATCAAGACATGCAGAGAGCTAGTAAAGAACAAAGGACGTACTGAACTCAGGCCCTGACTTGATGGATAGAGTGAGTCCAATGACGAGCGAATGTATCATGATACCTGCTTGGAGTACCTGATTGCAACAGGATCGTGCGTTAGTCAACCATTACATTTGACGGATTTAGATGCATAAGTCCCACCAATGTGTTTACAATCGCATGCTTTCGGTTGACACTTGAGTCGTCATGTTCATAATGGTGCACATGTTCGTTATGGTGCGCATGCCCGTTCTCAACTTCCTCCCACAATCCAGAAGCAGTACTCGATTCGCATCTTCTATTACTCGTGAACGGCTCCTCTTCATGATGGTGCAACTTCCGTCTCAAGAACTCGAATTGATTCATCACCCTTTGTGTTCGATTAGGTCTCGTGGCTGGTGTGGAAGTAGAGCGCAGAAGGCTCGATCGTTCCGTAACTGGCTCTATTTGAGTTTTGCGAGGACTCGTATCTTTATTATTGACAGGTGTTTCAGGTAATGGTAGTAGGACTGCGACACCGTTAGGCTTTGGTGTTACATCGCTTTCCTCAGAGTCTGAAGTGTAATGATCGTGATGGTGGTGAACGTGACGATCACGATGCTCTTCATGGGCATCGTGAGATTTCTCTTCAAGTCTTTCGACATAAGCCATAGATACGTCTGGATTAAATAGCATTAGGGAGCCCTTATTCGCTTCCCAATTAAATGTGGAAAGACGACTGACATTCTACGAGGAAGATGGCAAGCAACGCAGAAAGACTGTTCAAGATCGCAACAGCGATGTCAGAGATATTTTTGAGGTAGCTGTAGGATGTACTGCGACGTACACGATTAACCCGACCCAATGTTTGATAGGGGCGGTGTCAGGTAGGCCAAGGAGAACGCTGAACGCATCTTGTAACAGATGTACGAAGGCAGTCGAAAGAATGACGCCTAGAAAACTCATTGTCTAGATTTCGCATAGATTAGCCATAAACAAACGATGCAACATACCTGTACCAAAATGCTTAAGAATGAAAAATAAGACATGCGGCACCTTGATGAAGGAGAGTCGTTTCGACAGCGTCGGAAACGTCGAAGCTACACATCCCTCCATAAGCACTATTACACAAGACACAGGGTGCTCTGTAGATATACATACCGAAGAGCGAGAGGGCGAATACGCCGAGCATCGCACCCAGCTTGTCCCATTGCATGGCGATGGAGGCGGAAGAGAACGAGATGGAGTGCACGTGATGGCTCGACTGGTGCGGTAGCACATGGGGCATTTCACAAT